CACATGCACTTAAAAATATTCTGTTTGCAACACCTTGAAACAGAGAAGTGAGATGGAGTGGTAAAGGGAAAATGTCAAAATGATTTAAATAAAGGAGTGGAAAGGAAAATGAAAAAGACATACATGCCCACAGAATTGAGAAGGGTTTATAAAAAAAAATAAGCTAGAGTGAGAAGGTAGAGAGGAAAAGGGTCCAGGGAGACTGAGAAAGACATTAGGAGGCCTGAGATGGAGGAGTAAACACTCAGAGAGACAGACATTGAAAGATGGTAAAGAGCTGGGCTTGGTGGCTCAGCCTGTAATCCCGCGCCTTTGGGAGGCTGAGGTGAGTGGATTGCCTGAGCCTGTGGGTTCGAGACCCACCTGGGCAACTTGGTGAGACCTCATCTCTACAATAAATCAAAATAATTAGCTGGGCGTAGTAGCACGCGCCTGTAGTTCCAGCTACTTGGAAGGCTGAGGCGGAAGGATCGCTGGAGCCCAGGAGGTCGAGGCTGCGGTGGCCGGGAGTGGCCACTGCACTCCAGTCTGGGTGACAGAGTGAGACTCCAACTCAAAAAAAAAAAAGAAAGATGGTAAAGAAGAGAGGAAGAAAGAGAAGAGGGAGAAACAGAGAGAAAAGATAGGTAAGGATGAGGTGGGTCTTCACAGACTGTAAAAGGTATATATACTCCTGCTTTCCTTGCCTTTGGGCTTCTCATGGGTTTTCCTTATTTGAGACAGGAAGCTATAGAGTCACTGTTTCCAGCTCTTCAGATTCCCTTGGCTATAAATACTTAAGAATGTTCAGTGCAATGTTAAGATTACATGGAGACCAGGATTTTCTCAGGTCTAGGCTAGGTGGTTGCACAGTATTTATTTTAAGACTGAGATGAGCTTATTCCATCCTGACCTTAGATTTGTGTTTGATCAGGCTGATCCCACATAGGTGAGGAGAAGTATACTTTTCTCCAAGTCAGGACAAAGGAGAAATACTCAGGCTAAAAATGGTTCTAAAATCTTCACATTCTATAGGAATAATAACGGGAACCTAGACAAAGGCAATCAAACGGGGTTGTTATAATCCCACTTTAAAAATAAATGACAGAGCTGTGTGTGAGATGAGGCAGGGAAGATGGTTACATTGTAACAAAAATGGCTGAAGAGGTGAAATCTAAATCTGGAGGGAAAAAAAGAAATGAACTGAAACTACTAAGTTAGAATAGAGTTTAGGAGTGAATTTTGTGATAAAATGTGGTTTGTTAGTGAGGATGCTGGTTATCTAATTGTTTACTTCAGGGGAATAAGGGACTCATGGCAATTTTAGTCATCTGCAAAGAGTAATTCTGTTTCAGTGAACCTTTAAAGTTTATATTAGAGATTGTCAGTAATTCAAACTCAAAATAATTCCAATCCAAGTAAAGAGAAGAGTCAATATCCCATTCTAGTTTTGCTTGTGTCTTAATAGTTTATCTCTTGAAGCATCTCACTTCTTTTCGAGACTTTAGGGAGTGAGGTTGCACTAGATAACTTTTATCATCACTCTAGATGTTTCCAGAGAGAGGTTTCCAATTAGATTAGAAAGAAGTGGTTTCTTCCACATGACTTTGGTCTCCATGGAGAGAGATTTTGACAGGACAGTGGAGTCTTCTTGGACGCCTGGACTGCCTTGGTTCTTTCCCAACTGCTGAGTTGAGTTGGTGTTGCTTTACACTCACCAGAACTCTGCTGACAAGGGGTGTGACATCGGTAACAGTGAACTGGTGTTTGAGAGCTTTACCTGGCAATTTTCTTTTCCCAGTTTTTTTATTTTCTTGAAAATAAGTCAATACATTAAAGCTTCCTTTTGTTCTTGCTGAGAGAAAGAAGGTACTTATAAAATTTTGTTTGTGTGGAGCCACAGACTCTGGAAGCAAGCAAGACCTGTAAATCTCACTTCCCTTTTCAGCTCAAGTCCCATTCTAGTGGATGCTTCCTGCCCCATCCCAGCTGTGAAAGACAACTCTGCCATACTGGTTATTGGGATGTGATAAAGTGCTTTACGTAGTTAATGAGACAGGCATTATCACATATAGTAGTTTATAATAGACATTATTATCAGGCCTTCGCCAAACTGTGGCATGACTTCACTAAAACAAATTGAAGCAGAACGCTTGCATGGCTATTCAAGTGTTTTGTGTGTTTTTGTTTTTAATAGGAGTCTCACTCTTGTTGTCCAGGCTGGCGTGCAGTGGCACACTCATGGCCACCACAGCCTCGACCTGCTGGGCTCAGGCAGTCCTTCTTCCTCAGCCTTCCAAGTAGCTGGAACTACAGGCACATGCAACCATGCTGGCGTAATTTTTTGATTTATTGTAGAGATGAGGTCTCGCCAAGTTGCCCAGGCTGGTCTCGACCCTGTGGGCTCAGGCAGTCCTCTGACCTTGGCCTACCAAAGTGCTGGGATTATAGGCATGAGCCACCGCACCCAGCCTTCAAGTGTATTTTTAAGCTGCTGGCTGAGTAGGGCATTTATAAACTACATTCTGTCTTGTTTTATTTAGTGTAGTACACTTGTTATATTGGAAAGACAACTGAAGTGCAAGGAATTCAGCTTTATGTTCAGAAATAGGATTATGGATGCTCAAACCTGATAGCTGGTACCTGATTAAATGCTTATGGAGTAAGGTATGTGACATTGTATAGCTCTGCTTATCACTGTCAAAAAGACTCCTGGCTTATATCTTCCCCAACCTGCCTTGCCATACACCTCATTTGGCATATATATTTCTTCCTAGCACAGATAATTTACATTACTCACTTACATGAAGACTATCCTAAAACACTGCTTATACTTCTTATAGATCAAAACATTTCTTCCTTGTAATCCTCAACATATTTTGTATTTACAAATACATCATCTTTTTTTTAAAAGCAGAATTTATTGAGAAGATAGAAAATCTTCCACTGTGGGAGGGGACCCCACCCCATCATCTCTTTTTAACAGGGATTTAAGGATGACTTATGGATATACATTATAATTCCCAGCCCTTTGTTTTGTTCTTAGCCATGGAACATTTCTTTTCTTTCTTTTTTTTTTCTTTTTTAAAGATGTGGAGTACAATTCAGGATTAGGTGTACAAGTCATCGTACAGGTAAAATTTGGGCCTCCCTTTGGTCCTCACTTCACCCAGTTTGAGATCAGATACTGATGTTGTGCCTCCCGTCCCATGGCAGTTTCCGATTACTGCCAATCCCTTTCTTATAGTAGTATGGTAAATGTTCAGGGTCCACTTATGAGTGAGAACATGTGGGTACTCATTTCTTTTTTTCTGTGGTAAATCACTGACTCTAACACCAAGGTATATTTCCTATTCTTCATTGTGTCTTCTTGCTTTTAAATGATTGTCTAAATAATTTTACTTTGTGCCAAACCAGTCGCCAAACCAAGTTATTAAAATGTAATTTATGTACTAGCAAATTAATTGGTACCTTAGAATCAATTGCAATCTGTTCATATCATCAGATGTTAGAACAGTAATACTTCCACATTTATAGATTTAGCTACATTCTATTTTCCTCTCTGTTTAAATGTGAATGTTTACCCCTACAACACTAACTAGAAGAAAAGTAGAAGAAATGAAAAAAATACTCAAATTCATTCTAGTGACATAAATGTACAGAAAAGTGTCCAATTTCATCAAGTTCAATAAAATTACATTTTCTTAAATAATTGAAACTTTGAAAATCATAATATGTATTATTTTTGGTAATGGGGACCATTTTGTAAAATAATTAAATTTTTAAGTGGCAGAACAGTGTTTTATTTTTTTTTTTAATGGTTTAAATGGTTTTTTTAGGTCTATGAAAGACCTTAGAGACAATCTAATCTAGACCCTTCTTCTTGTTTTATTTTTTTATACATATTTTTTATTTTAAAATTGTGGGGTACAGTTAGGGGTTAGGTATACAAATATGCATTGTGCAGGTACCCTTGTTGAAGTGTGCCCCCCCATCCCCAGGCAGATATTGACTACCGTTAATCCCACCTCCCTTCCCTTCCTTGCCCCCCCCCATAGTTTCCCACCACTGTCAATTCTTTTCTTATAGTATTATGATAGTTGTTCAAGGTTCACTTATGAGTGAGAACACGTGATACTCAGATCTTTGTTTCTGTGAGAGATCACTCAGTATTATAAACTCTAATTCCATCCAGGTTGCTGCAAAATTCATGATTTTGTTCTTTTTTATGGCTGTGTAATATTCCATTGTTTATATGGACCACTTCATTTTAAAGATTGAAAACTGGTTAGGTGTGGTGACTCACACATGTTATCTCAGAACTTTGAAAAGTGGAAGCAGGAGGATTGCTTGAGGTCAGGAGTTTGAGACCCATCTAGGTAATATAGCAAGACCTTGTCTCTACAAAAAAATTTAAAAATCAGCTGGATGAGGTGGTACATGCCTGTAGTCCCAACTACTCAGGAGGCTGAGGTGGAAGGATCACCTGAGCCCAGGAGGTCTAGGCTGTGGTAAACTATGATCATGCTTACTGTTCTCTAGTCTGGGTGACAGAGTGAGACTTTGACTTGAAAGAAAGAAAGAGAGAGAGAGAGAGAAAGAGAATGAAAACCAAGTAGTCTTAAATTTATATCTTTTCCTATGGATATTTTGGAAACTGGAGCATTTGTAGTTGAGTAAGGCATCATTGATTTAGTTCCCTTTCTTGGTGAAACTTCATCATCACAAGTATCATCACTATTCCCCCACTACCACAACCACCACCACCATTATCACCATCATCAATTCTAGAGTGCCCAGCTCCTGGAGGTTCATAATCCAATGGTATGGACCTAACATCCTCAAAGAAGCATGAAAGAAAATAAGCATGCTTCACCAGTTTTATGTATATATGACCTGAATCCTTGGAGCCAATGGTCCCATTGCAATTTTAAGTGTGGAAAGATCAGAACCGAGGCCTTGATGTTTATATAAGCAGGACTGATTAAACTAATGATTAACATCCATCATATATTTTTTGTCTAATTTGAGGTTAAGCAGCATCCCAACAGCTTTTTCAGATCAGCCACCACCTCCTTGTTCCTCAGACTGTAGATGAGAGGGTTCAGCATGGGAATGAGGATGGCACCAAGCATAAAGAGAACCTGGTCCAGCTTGGGACTGTGGTAAGAACTAGACCTCACGTAGACCAGCACGGCTGGACCAAAGTAGAGGCTCACCACAGTCAGGTGGGAGGAACAGGTAGCCAGGGCTTTGTTCCTGCCTTCAGGAGAGTTCATGCAGAGGACAGCAAGAAAGATGAGGGCATAAGAGGTCAGGATGAAGGATAAGGGAATGAGGAGCACCACAATGCTTGTCCCCACCACAGCCTTCTCATAGGCAGAGATGTCCTCACAGGCCAACTTTAGAATGGCCATGATCTCACAGAGGAAATGGAAAATCTCTTTGGAACCACAGATGAGAAAATGCATGGCATAGGCTGTATTTGCAAGTGATGTAAGGGTGCCCCCAGCCCAGGATGTGGCAGCCATCTGTAGACAGACCCTCTGGCTCATGATGAGGGCATATCTCAGGGGCTACAGATGGCCACATACTGGTCATAGGACATGAGGGTGATGAGGATGCACTCAGCAATTCCTAGAATCAGAAAGAAGATCTGAGTCCCACAGGCCATCCGTGAGAAGAAGTTGGCTGTCATCTTGGGAAAAGTGCTAGAGATTAATGTCAGGTCCATGAGAGCCAACTGACTGAGCAGGAAGTACATGGGCATATGGAGGTGAGAATCCACCCAGATCAGAAGAATAAGGATAGAGTTTGCAGTGATAGCAACAGTGTAGATCAGGAGAATGACAGAGATAAGGAAGTTGATATGTTTCATACCAGGAAAGAGACCCAAGAGGATAAAATCCATATTCAAAGACTCATTCCTTTTATCCATATCTCTGCCTTAATAGTTGGAAATAATCAACCCTGGGGGGAAAAGCAAGAGTTGGAGAAAACATGATTTATTGGATTCTGTTTCCCAAGCTTTTTCCTTTCTTATACTTGGTCAGCATCAGCAGGCTGTGAAACTTCTGCAAATGACAGCATTTTAGCTAATTTCATGGCTAAGGAAGACATTTTATGTCCTTGCCCATCCTCTGTACTCTCAGAATAAATTATTGCCAGACAGGTCAGATAACATCCAGCCTGCATGTAATAGCAGTAATCCAAAATTAATAATACCACTTTCTCTTCTTCCTACCTCATTGCTCAGAAACCTCTCTTTCCTCAATGCCATCTCACTGTTCTGCCTGAAAATTTGAAAAGTTTATTACATTTGCTCCATTCTCACAGCCACATATTTTTCCATCCTAATATATGCCAGACACTGTACTAGGTAGGTCTTTGGGAGTATTGTCTCTTATGCCAAAGTCCATTAACTTCATTGAAGAAGGTGACCAGTGAAGTATTGTCTCTTATGCCAAAGTCCATTAACTTCATTGAAGAAGGTGACTAGTGAAGTGTTCATATGGAAAACATGAAGGATGTTATAATGGGAGAATATAGATGATACATGGTACAATAGAGATGCAGAGTATTCAGTTGTTAGCAGCTAGAAGAAGTGAATGATGACAAAAGTCTAACCTCACACAGCTTTTTTTTTTTAAATCAAATCACCGAATTTGAGACTTAGCATCATGGAATTGTAGGCTTTTACAGAGGAAGGATGACTAAGAGGTCGCCTCTCCCGGAGAGGTTAAGTGGTTTGTCCAAAGTCACATCACTACCCAGTGTTGAAGAGGAATGACTAAATATCATGTCCAAACAACTTTTCCAATTACAGCCCACTTCCAGTTCCTCATTAAATATATTCATAGTAGCTATGTTTTTATTAAACATAACCTCGTATTGTTCTTTGCTTTATTTGTTAAGGGATGCCTGTTCCTATCATGGATATCTCCCAGATTTCAGTGGCTTAAGATAAGTGTATTTTTCATCAGATAATGTCCAAATAGACATCATCAGGTGCGTGGCTCTCCTCTGAGTGACATTTTGGGGACCCAGGTTCCTACCATCTTATTGCTCACCATCTCCAACACTGACTTTTAAGGTTATTGTGTTCATCTGCATCAAACAGGCTGCAGGCAGATGTGGGAGTGTTAACAGGCCAAGCCTGAAAGTGTTGTGTGGGCCAGCCCCTAATATTCAGACCTAGTCACTTGACCACATTTCCCTGCAGCTAGCATATCTTGGTGCACGTGAAGAAGAGGAAATGGATTGGGTAAACAGCTGCCAGTACCAGTCACATCTACTAAGTCAATTTGTGTCTACATAAGGCCTATGAGCTGATTCATGATAGAGATACAGTTTTGCATTCCTTTACCACTTTACCTGACTGTAATGATGGTCCTATCAGTACTTGAATTGAACATGTGTTTCCAGACACTCAGGAGAGCAGCTACTTCCTCCCCTCCTGTGGACCTGATTCTTAATCCTTTCAAAATAGTATTGATATTGCTATGAAGCAATAGTTTTCTATTGCTGCATTATAATTATCCCAAGATTTAACAGCTGAAAATAACACACATTTACTACCTCACTGTTTCTTTCCATCAGGAATCTGAGTTCATTTTAGCAGGGTTTCTCTGTCTGAAGATCTCTGACACAACTGTAATCTAAGTGCCGGCTGGTGCTGCAGCTTCATCTGAATGCTCAACTGGGGGAGGATCTACTTCCAAGCTTGCTCAGCTGTTGTTGACAGGGTTCAGTCTAGCCCTCGTGGACTGTTGGCCTGAGAGCTTCAATTTCTTGCTAGTTGATGACTTGTGGGGGTCTCCCTTCTTTGGTTTTCCACAGGGCAGGTAACAGCACAAAAACTGGCTTCCTCCAAGAAAGAAGAAAGGAGAGGAAGAAAAAGAGCAGGATTTTTATCATCTAGAACATACGCAAAGGAGAAAAAGAGCAGGATGGAAGCCACAGTCTTTTGGTAACCGGATACCAGAAGTGATGAGTGATAAGATGCAGCCTTTGTTCTGGGGACAAGATTACACAAGGGCATGCATACCAACAAACAAGGATCACTGAGGTCCTTTGAAGCTCCGTAGCTCGAAGATTCTCCAAGCTCATTGTATTTTTGTAGTATCCTTGAAATTTAGACTTAGAAGGCACCTTTGAAAAATCCACTTCACTCTTACCCTAGTCATTTTTATCTATCTGTTATTATAATAAAAATTACAGTTTCAAAAAATTAAATGATTAGTCCCAGATCACCCAGTTAGTTAACAGTGAAGGAATTATAGCTCAGGCCGACTATTATCTTGACTTTCTTAATTACTTGCTGGGCTTTACTATAAATTATTTCTTATTTTCAACTTATTTGTATTATTTTACTTTTAGATCACTTAGGGAACAAACACAGATACTACAAATTAGTGTAAAAGTATTCACTTTAATAAATAAATACTGTGAGAGAATGTTTAGAAAGTCATGAATATAACTAATTTTTACCTTTTAAATTATTTGTTATGGTTTGTATGTGGATTTTTATCGTCTAGAACATACACAAAATATTAATGTATTTCAATTTTATGTATTTATAATGTCATTTATACATAAAACTGGCAAAAGTCTACCCATTGAAAATATACAATTATCCCTTAATCCTTAAATGAAGATCTGTAAATATACATGTTGTCAGTGTGTTTTGGGGTATGTCCATGTCTTTGCAGATCAAGTGTGGTGATAACCATTCTGCCTATAATTGTCAGGCAAATGAATCATTGCAGTTGATCTGCAAGGTGATATGACTAGCTGAATTAGCTTAGAAGAATCAGTCATGGCAGTTGCAATTTTGCTACTTGAATTAAACCAGAATTTTTAGGTGTACTGGCCTAGATCTCTGCCTGCTCTGCAACTTTCCTTTTTCTGGGTCTGAACCCTTGTATTGTATGGATTCAGACCTTTCTATCCCAAAGCTCACAGCCCTGAACAAAGAGGTGAACAGGCTCATTCCTCCGAGTGCCAGTATGCTCACTCTTAGCACTTTCCAGTAAGTTTATATGCCAGTACACTCCCTGGATGGCGATGTGACAGGAGATCTTCATCCTGAGACCCATCCTATTTTCAACATTGCCTTGTTTCATCTGGAAGGGCCCGGTGCCCTCTTACTCTGATACCCTTTTCCTGATTAAACCCCTCTCTGTGAGAGATCTGCTAAGTGAATGTCCTATGATTTCACAGGCCACCTCCTATGAGGAGTCACTGAGCTCCTCAGGAAAAAAAGCCCAGAGTCAAAGACATGGACTCTTGAAGGAGTCATCACTGGCTTCAGGAAGCCAACTGGGAAAAAGTAGTAGGGAGTCATCCCTGGCACCCCTCCAAGCATGCAGCAGAATCATGCATCCCTCCTTCACCCTGTCTCTCTTTTCTCACCTGTTTATTATCTTTCATCCACACATTTACTGTGTCATTTAAAGTTCATGTGCCATTTAAAGTTACATGTTTAGTCTCCAAAGAGCCTCTCAATGATTCCTTCCTCTCATTTAAAATTTTACTCTTCCACTCACTGTTCCTCTGTGCTTCACTTTCTTCATTAGCCACCAATTCTGGTTTCTTTAATTCCTTACAAGATCCCGTAAGGAGACTGGGGAAATGTATCCCATTATGCAGTCTTCCCTTTTACCTTCCCTTTCAGTGGAGAACAAATTCTAATTTCTCTGATGTTGCCAGAAGAGGAAAATATATTTGGATGGAAAATACATTTGTATAGAACAAGCAGATGAGTTTTTTTCTTTTTTTATTTTTCTTTTTTCTTGTTTGAGACAGGGTCTCATTCTTTCACCCAGGCTGGAGCACAGTGTCACAATCTTAGCTCACCACAGCCTCCACCTCCTGGGCTCTAGTGATCTTCCCTTGCTAGACTCCCAGTAGCTGGGACTACAGACACACACTACCATGCCTGGGTGTTTTTTTTGGTATTTTTTTGTAGGGATGTGGTCTCACTATGTTGCCCAGAGTAGTCTTGAACTCCTTTCCATCTACTCAGTCTTCTTCCCACTGGCTACTGTGAATCTCCTCTCAAGGGGTAATGGGTCTATTTTTAGACAGTCATAACTTGTGGTCTCAGTCCATTGATTGGATTCTCAGAAAAGCTAATTAGCTTCACTTTGATCACTCCTTTCATTCACTCATTCTACCCACATTGCAATACCTCTATCTTGCTCATTTATCATGATCTCCTATACAACAGGCTGCACCTTTAAGACAACTACCAATAAAAAGTAATCATTTTTTACATCTTTCAGATGTTTCTAAACAGTTGGTGGATGTGGGAGAAGGTGGGAAGGCATGTGTGCATGAACAAGGAAGCACGATGGAGAGTGCTGGAACAAAGTCACAGAGCTGATCTTAGGAAAAGAGCATGTAAGAGAGTGAAGGAAATTTTCATTTCCTAAATTTTAAAAAAGGCAGTATACTGCATGCTTGTGCTTGTGCACTCTTTCTCTCTCTCTCCCACCCCCATCAGATTTTCTTAAAAACCTTCTTTTTTTTTTTGAGTTGGAGTCTCACTCTGTCGCTCAGGCTGGAGTGCAGTGGCATGCTCATGGCCACCCAGCGTCCACCTGCTGGGCTCCAGCGATCCTTCCACCTCAGCCTTCCAAGTAGCTGGAACCACAGGCATGTGCTACCATGCCCGGCTAATTTTTTGGTTTATTATAGAGATGAGGTCTCGCCAAGTTAAAAAAGCTTCTTAACCCTCTTCTTATATTCTTGAGAATGAGAATTTGTTGTCACAGAATATTTGCTTAAGAATCCACAATTGATAAAGATGTAATGGCCTATGGCTTTTGGCCTTAGAGGATAACCTCTCATTGATATGGCACTATGTTTTATTGTCTGGTGGAGAGTAACCCCCAATGGTGTGTGGTTTTATTACTCTGTAGAAAGTAACTAGCC